ATTTTTCCATTCCCATGTGCAACGCAACTTTCCCCCTTGTGTATGTTAGTCTATGTGTGTGTTTTTCTCTCCCATTCTCCTTGTTTCACTATTTTGTCCACTTGGGTGTGAATCGCAACTTCAATGTTGATGTCATCTAGTGTTTGAGTAGTGTAAAGTGCTTGTTCTGTCCATTCTTCCACTCCCATGTGCAGCGCAAACCTCCCCCTTGTGTATGTGAGCCCATGAGTGTGTTTTTCTCCCCATTCTCCTTGTTTCGCTTGTCTCTTCACTTGGGTGTGAATCGCAACTTCTATCTTGATGTAATGTAGTGTTTGAGTGGTGCAAAGTGCTTGTTTTGTCCATTCTTCCCCTCCCATGTGCAGCGCAACTTTCCCCCTAGTGTATGTGAGCTCATGTGTATGTTTTTCTCTCCTATTCTCCATGTTTCACTTGTTTTCTCACTAGGGTGTGAATCGCAACTTCAGTCTTGGTGTAGTCTAGTGATCTGGCAGTGCAGGATGAGTGCATGATCTGTTTTTCCACTCCCAGGGGAAACGTTGTTTTTCCCTCAGGCTCTAGACTAGATACCGCATGACTTTAACCCCCCCCCCCCCCCCCCCCCCCCCCCCCCCCCCCCCCCCGTGTTCTATTCGAACGCGGTAATTGGGAGGTTGGTAGGCTGCTGATTTTCAGCAGTTCAAAGTCTTTGCTGTGTTTCTTTTCTTACTGGGTAGCTGTAGGATTGGGACTGCTGCCAGATCTGGCCTGCACGAACTGCTGCTACGGAGGAATGGTGGAGTAACCACCCGCTGGTGCAAGGACCGCACGGGAACAGCAAACGGGCCAATACGGCCAAAAAGCACGACAGCGAGGCACTACCAAAACACAGGTGTGAGGTCTGAGATTTCTCAGACCTCATGTTCTGAGCATAAACAAATGACCCGCAGACCTAGCAGGCCATCGGAGTCCGTTTTCTGAAGAAATCAGAAAACGGACTTCCTCCGAATTGTTCACCTTGAGACCGGACAGTGCCCGAAACAGGCAACTGGGCCCAAACGGCGTCGGAATCCCACGAAATTTTGCAAAGGCCTTCCCTGTGACATACTGAGAGGACCCACGAAGTTTCAGAGGATTCTGAAGTCGTTTCGGGCAGGAAACATAGGCTTGAGTATCCCGAACCCTCGGCAAAAAAAAAACAGCAAAATGGTAAGTTACCGTTTCCGGCAAAGCTGCAAATTCCGCGATTTCTCAGCCAACTGTATCTGCTGCAAATCTGTGTTTTCTGCATGTTAGCTGTAGATTGTGTGCTGTGGGATAGTGTTTTGCCTCCGGGACTAGGGAATATGGAGGGCAACGGACCCGGATACTTGGGTAGGGGGCGGCACGGGGCCAAGACCGCCTTGCACCTTCTCCCTCCACCACCTTCTTCACCATCTCCCTCTCCCCATCCACCATACCCATCCACCTTGCCCGGATGTCCAAAGGACAACCCAAAACATCTCCCACTTTCTTCCTCCGCCATCACCTACACCCACCCCCCATAGCCGGACACCTAGCACCTCCGTCCTCCTCCATCACCCACACCCGTCCACCATAGCCGACCTCCTCCCACCTTCATCCTCCACCATCTCCCACACCCGTCCACCATAGCCGACCTCCACCTTGCATCTTCTTCCTCCTCCTTCGCCCTCACCCGTTCACCATAGCCGACCTCCTCCCACCTTCGTGCTCCACCTTCACCTACACCCATCCACCATAGCCAACCACCTTGCACCTTCTTCCTCCACCTTCACCCGCACCCATCCACCATAGCCACTCACCTTGCACCTTCATCCTCCACCATCTCCCGCACCCATCCACCATAGCCATCCACCTTGCACCTTCATCCTCCACCTTCACCTACACCCCGTCCACCATAGCCAACCACCTTGCACCTTCTTCCTCCMCCTTCACCCACACCCGTCCACCATAGCCAACCACCTTGCACCTCCTTCCTTCTCCGTCACCCACACCCGTCCGCCGTAGCCGACCTCCTCCCACCTTCATCCTCCACCATCTCCCACACCCATCTACCATAGCCCTCCACCTTGCACCTTCTCCCTCCTCCTTCACCTACACCCGTGCACCATAGCCGACCTCCTCCCACCTTCTTCCTCCACCTTCACCTACACCCATCCACCATAGCCACCCACCGTGCACCTTCATCCTCCACCATCTCCCGCACCTATCCACCCTAGCCATCCACCTTGCACCTTCTTCCTCCACCCATCCACCATAGCCAACCACCTTGCACCTCCTTCCTCCTCCATCACTCACACCCGTCCACCATAACTGACCTCCTCCCACCTTCATCCTCCACCTTCACCTACACCCATCCACCATAGCCACCCACCTTGCACCTTTATCCTCCACCATCTCCCGCACCCATCCACCATAGTCATCCACCTTACACCTTCTTCCACCACCTTCACCTACACCCATTGTTGCATACTGTAACGTGCAGACCAGAACAAGAACCGACCTTTCAATACAAAGTATAAGATAGCACAACGGAAGACTTAGATACCAGTGATCCGAACAATCAATGTTGTAATGCAGTCCTAAACATACATCATCATCATCGTTACATGGTGTGAATGGGCCGAGCGCTTCACACAGGGAGACAGCGCCAGCCCGTACCATACACAGACGAAGAGGAAGGGGATAGACGAAGAGGAGGGGGGAGATGGGAATGTCGTCAACACCAAGTCTTCGGCACAAGCCCAAATAGTCCCTCGTCGAAATGTCTGAATCCCAAATGTCAAGTCTGGATCCAATGTCGTCAAGTCTCAAGTCACAACTCTGTCTCT